AAACGCAGAGCAGGGTAGGGAGGATCAGGCACTGAGGGAAAGAGGAGGGGTTCACCTGTTTCCTTTTCTTTGGTGATGCTTGGCTTTGCCATTTCAACAGCCACCTTATTGTTAAGCCTCAGTGAAGAAGACCGTGACAATTAAGCCATCCCTCTGGGTTTGAGGATTGTTATGAAGGAGACACACACTCACACACAGGGCCCTGGATAAGTTTCCGGGCTTTATTGCTAATTTTATTAATCCTCAGCACAGCTGCAGGCTGAGTCAGCTGCCACAGATCTCAACTGGTTCAGGATTCAGAGAAGCATTGTATCTGATTTGGCTAGGGAAGTTATTAACCAAGTCTGGACTTTATTGTAGGGACTTGATTTACAGTATAAAAATCATAAGAGGAGAGAGTCACAAATCAAGACTCTGTAAGTCAGCAATCATCTATACTCCTGTAAAATGATATTGTCATTATCAGTACCTCTCAGCAGCATCAGAATCCCTTATGAGATACCCTGGTCAGTGAATGACAAGATTCTATTATTACTTCTGCCTTGTCCTTCCAAGATAGAATCTTTACTAAAGAAAGCAGTAAAGCTTTTTAAAAGCCATTACTTAGTAGGGAACGAATAGCTGTAAAATAAATTATTAATTTTTCTAAAAAATACCTCAGAGAAAAATACTGTACTTACCAGAAGTAATAAATTCTTTTCTCTGTATTATTTCTATTTAGTCCAGTCTGATCTGCTTCATCAACTCTGGATACACATATGGTTACCTGTCTTTTATTTTCCTAATTAATCACTGTGGAAGAGCAGAAAATCCAGGATTTCCATTTTGAAGCCTCCCATTCCCCTTGAGTTGTCCACAAACATGAGTGTTCGCCTAGTCCAGTGGGTCCATCCTGTTTCCTCATACAGCATGCAGAATGGATTGGACGTGCATCATGGTCTTCTGCTTTTTCTTGTTGTCTTATGGTGGGGCTATTGAGGACTGGTCTTGTGTGATTTGGTTTGCACAAGCTTTTGTGTGAATGTAAGTTTTCATTCCTCTAGGATAAATTCCGAAGGCGAAATTGCTGGGTTGTACGGTAGGTGCGATTTTAGTTTTAAAAGAAATAGCCAAACTATTTTCCAGAGTGGTTGCACCATTTTACATTCCCACCAGCAATGCATAAGTGACACAGTTTCTCCATCTCCTCGCGAGCATTTGGTGTTGTCACTATTTTTTATCTTACCCATTCTGATAGGTATGTAGTGATTTTTCATTATAGTTCTAATTTACATTCCCCTAATGGCTAATGATGTTGAGCATGTGCTTATTTGCCAGCTGTATATACTCCTCAGTGAAATATCTCTTCCTATCTTTTGCCCATTTCTAATTGGATTGTTTGTGGGGTTTAACTGTTGAATATTGAAAGTTTTTTATATATTCTAGATCAAGTCCTGTGTCAGATATGTTATTTGAAAATATTTTTTCCAAGTAAATCATTTTTCTTTACATTCTCTTAATAGGGTTTTTCACAGAACAAATGTTTTTTAACTTTGATGAGGTCCAATTTATAAATTTTTCCTTTCACTCACTTTTCATTCAACAAATAATTATTGTATGTCTACAATTTATCAAGATAATGTTCCAGGTAAGAATCAAAGATGTGACATGGTTCCAACTTCAGGGCATTTCCAGTCTACTTGGGAAGATTGGAGATACACCCAAATAACTAATATTATGTAACAAGTGTTAAGTGCCATGGAAGAGGCAAAGATACATTTTTTGGAAAATCAGATATCATGTTTTGACTGATAGAGAAGAAGTGGGTGAAGGTTTCACCATTTCTGTGCCAGGAAATGTCACAAAATGGCATAGAAATTTCCTTTATAAACTCATTTTCTTCCAGGTTAAATATGATAATTTTTAGATAACTAATATATATTAAATCTCACTCTGTGCAAAGCAATTTCATATACATTGCATCAATTAATAACAATCTTGTAGAGCAGTGGAGAGGATAACACCATATTTTATACTTAGGGAATCTAGGATTCAGCGAAGTTAAGTAACTAGCCCAAAGTCACATAGCCAGGAAGTGGTAAGGTCAGACTGGCACCCCAGCCTTGTGATTAATGCTCTTTTAATTGTACCCAGAATCCTCTTGGGACACGTCCTTTCCCTGCCAGTATAAACTCATCAATCTTCTGGCTAAGAAATGGACTGTCTGATTCACATTTTAAAAGAAGACATGACACATTTCCTTGAGCGCACAGAAGTCAATGAACTCTTCTTGATAAAGGGAGAATCCATTAAAACTCTTACAGTGGTCAAGATCATGCAGAAAACGGAAAAGCAAGCACTGCCTGTGAGTCCTGACGGGCAAAAGAAGGGATGGATATTGCTGAAATTCAGTAAAATTTTGCTGGATGACAGCTCCGGATGGAGTAACCAAGAAGGTTGCATTTTAGGTCATCTTGCAGGCTCCTGTTACTCAAATCATCTTCAAATGCCAAACCTTTCACGGGGAACGGGGAACATTAAAAAAAATCAACAATAGTTCTGGTGAAGAATTGAAACTTTGTGTGTTTCTGACCTAAAGAATGACAAATAGGGAATTGGGCTCTTTCTCATTCATAATGTCTCTGGATTTCCATCTGTACTTTCTTCCTGTCTTATTTGTGACCTTACGCAAATCACTTAACTATTCTGTATTTATTTGTCTTTCTTTTAAAATGTTTATATTTTAGGGAAGATGTTGGAACCTTGATGCTGAAAGAGCCTGTAAAGATGCGAATTTATATATTAGCTCAGTTTTGCAAACATCTGCATGGTGTCAAATAACCTTTGAACCCAGTCCCCATTCTTGTCCTGATGCAGCCACTGTGGAGAGTAATCCTTTCACATTCTACATTCGAACCTTTACCTTGTTGCCCTGGGATCCAGCTGCAGAAGCTGAGGTCTTTACAATGTCTGGACGTAAATGAACATGAGTGTTTATATGTGGCTTACTGCTGACCAGCCAGGAGGCACGGGTAGGAAGGCATTCATGAACTGCCTGCAAACTCCCACCGCTGTGTCCATCTCATTGTCCTTGCTCACCCACAAACAATCAGAATACCCAAATCCTAGACCCCTCAAGGGGTGGACTCAAGACTGAAGCAGGGCAAATAAGTTTTCTTGGGCAGCTTAATGCGCACTCTGGGAAGAAGACTCGCCTTAGTCTTGATCACTGAGGAGAAGATAATCCTGGAGCTGCCAGGTGCCACCACGCCAAGCAAATCAGCTTAACAATGAAGCCCACCAGGGAAAGCAGAGAGGAAGAGGGAGAGAGGAGGGAAGGGGGAGTGAGGAAGAGAGGGGCCAAGACTCTAGTTCTACTTTTGACATCACTTGAACCCCTGAATCCACATGTGCCTGAAGTTAGACCTACCATTTTGTATAACAAAAGGGAAAAATAAGAACATTAGACAAATATGTTTGGTTGTGTATACGTAGATTTTCTCTAGGAGGGTACACAAGAAGACCATAGCAAATGTTGCCTCCAGGGAGAGGAAATGAGAGGCTGCGAGACAAGGGTGGGAGGGGAATCTTGTTAATTGTGCCCATTTGCAGTTTTTGAATTTTGTACCACGCCAATGCTAATAAGCATAGATAAATAAAATTAAAATCGAATGTAAATAAAATAGAAACAAAACACAAACTCTCTTCCACTTTACCCAGTTTGTGGATAATGACATCCCGTTACGAGAGGACACCAGATCTTTAGAGAAATCAACTCCTTTACCTTTGAAGTTCCCTTCTTAACGATTTTTTTTTTTTGCCGCTGCGGACAGATGAGGGAACCATTTCTACTGCGCAAACGTGCACGGAGAGAACAGCCTTAATCTGCCGTCCCGAGACAGGATTCCTAGGGTTTTAGGAATCGCCAACGTAGCTCCACAAACGCTTTAGCCTGATGGAGTGACTTCCATCCTGCAGCTAAAACTGACAGTGTTTTCACAGCTTAATTGTTGGGGCTGAGGCAGTCCGTTTTAGGAAGATTCCGGGCCCTGTGCCTGATGGATGCAAACGCGCAATGAAGTCCTGGCCTGGGTGGAACCTTTCAACTCCCAGTCGTTCTTCCAGGACCTGGAACTCCAGTCACGAGCCCGAATGCGTTCCTCACTTGCAGCAATCTTCGGGCATCCTTCTGACAGCGCGGGCTCACTACCTCGGCCGTGCGGGCAGCGATGGGAGCTTAGGGAGACTTGGGCGCGCAGTAGCCTGGGACAGCTCCCTGAGCCAAGCGCGACCCCGGTCAGTGCGTGTTAACGGATGAGCGTCTCTAGCGCAGTAAATTCAGGAGAGAATTAAAGAAATCCAGATCAGGGGATGGGTTACCACGGTGACTTTAAATACCCAGGGACTGTGAAGTGAGGAGAGCTGTCGGTGGAGAAGCGCCACGCCGGCTTTGGCGAGGCTCCGGAGCATGGGCGCCCGCACTCTGGCCGGCGAGCGGCGGGCTTGGTAGAGCCAGGCCAGCCCCAGATTTGGGTGACCCATCACTCCGCGGTCAGGGAGAGTCCGGGCGCCCGGGACACAGGGGTAGGGGACAGAAAAAGCCTCACTTCAAAGCTGGGAACGACCTGAGGTCTTGCCTGGGGGCTGCAACACTGCACTGCGCCGCCAGAGAGAGCCCAGCAAGGGCGCGGGTCCACGCCCCGGGCGCGCGCAGCCCCAGCCCCGCCTCCTTCGGATGCGCCCCGCCCCTCCCCGCGCGTGCCGCGCTCGCTTGGGGAGCTCCTGAGGAGCTGGCCGGGCAGGCACCCCCTACCCCAGCGCAGGCGCGATCGAGCGCCGCCCCTCCTGCCGGGCGCCCGG